GGAAGAAACCCCTATAGCCATCTAAAAAGCAGTAATAAGGGTGATTCGCCAATCTTTCCAACATTTGATCAATAAAAGGTAAAGGATAGTGATCTTTTCTAGAGGCAGAATTCAGCTTCCTATAATCAATACACATTCTATGTCCTGTTATAGTTCTAGTTGGAATAAGCTCAACTTTTTCATTCTTAACAACCGTGATTCCTCCTTTTTTAGGCACAACATAGACTGGTGAGACCTATGTGCTGTCTGAGATAAGGTAAATCACGCCTGCATCAAGGAGTTTTAAGATTTCTTTCTTTACATCTTGACAAGAAAATAAAAAAATTAGTCCTGCAAACTTAGGAAGGAAAAATTCACAGAAAGAAACACGAAAATTTAACATTTTCTTGTGTGTGTCTTAATACACACATCTTGGAAAGAAAATAATAAAACTATAAAATTTAGTATTTTTTGTATGTGTGTTAATACACATATCTTGACAAGAAAATTAAAAAAAACTCGAAAATATAACATTTTGTGTGTGTTATTAATACATACATTTTTGCAAGAAAAAATAAAAAATTAGAAAATTTAACATTTTTTGTGTGTGTTAATACACATATCTTAACAAAAAAATTTTAAAACTCAAAAATTGAACATTTTCTTGTGTGTGTGTTAATACAAACATCTTGACAAGAAATTTTTTAAAAAAATCAAAAGTATAACATTTTCTTGTGTGTGTTAATACACACATCTTGGCAAGAAAAATTAAAAAATTCGTAACATTTTTGTGTGTGTTAATACACATATCTTGACAAAAAAATTATCAAAAAAAACTCAAAAAATTTAACATTTTCTTGTGTGTGTGTTAATACACACATCTTGACAAAAAAATAAAAAAAAAGTCAAAAATTTAACATTTTCTTTTGTGTGTGTTAATATACATTTCTTGACAAGTAAATTAAAAAAAAATACAAAATATAACATTTTTTGTTGTTTGTTAATACACACATCTTGACAAGAAAAAAAAATAGTCCTGCAAACTTAAGAAGGAAACATTCACAGAAATAAACTCGAAAATTTAACATTTTCTTGTGTGTATTAACATAAACACATCTTGGCAAGAAAATAAAAAAACTTCAAAATTTAATATTTTGTGTGTTTATGTTAATACACATATCTTAACAAGAAGATTAAAAAACCTTAAAAATATAACATTTTTTGTGTATGTGTTAATACACACATCTAGGCAAGAAAATAAAAAAACTTCAAAATTTAATATTTTTTGTGTGTGTGTTAATACGTATATCTTGACAAAAAGATGAAAAAAACCTCGAAAATATAACATTTTCTTGTGTGTGTGTTAATACACACATTTTGGCAAGAAATTTTTAAAATTCGCAAATTTAACATTTTTTTGTGTGTGTTAATACACACATCTTGGCAAAAAAATTAAAAAACTTTAAAATTTAACATTTTTTTGTGTGTGTGTTAATACACGTATCTTGAGTAGAAAAATAAAATAAAAACTCAAAAATTTAATATTTTCTTCTGTGTGTGTTAAATACACACATTTTGGTAAGAAAATAAAAAAATTTGCAAATTTAATATTCTTGTGTGTGTGTTAATACACACGTCTTGGCAAGAAAATAAAAAAAAAACTTGAAAATTTAACATTTTTTGTGTGTGTTTATACACGTATCTTGACTAGAAAAATAAAATAAAAACTCAAAAATGTAACATTTTCTTGTGTGTGTGTTAATACACACATCTTGGCAAAAAAAAATTAAAAAACTAAAAAAAATAACATTTTGTGTGTGTGTTAATACACATATCTTGACAAGAAAATTTAAAAAAAAACTCGAAAATATAGCATTTTCTTGTGTGTGAGTTAATACACCCATCTTGGCAAGAAAATTTTAAAAAATATAAATTTAATATTTTTTGTGTGTGTGTTAATATAAATATCATGACAAGAAAATTGAAAAAAAAATCAAAAATTTAATATTTTCTCGTGTGTGTGTTTTAATACACATATCTTCACAAGAAAATAAATAAATTTTCCTCCAAATTTGAGGGAGAAATTCCTTGAAAGAACCTCGAAAATTTAACCGTTTTTGTGTGTATTAATACACATATCTTGATAAGAAAATTAAAAAAAAAACTCAAAAATTTAACATTTCCTTGTGTGTGTTAATATACATATCTTGACGTGTGTGTGTGTGTGTGTGTGTGTGTGTGTGTGTGTGTGTTAATACACACATCTTGACAAAAAAATTAAAAAGACTCGAAAATTTAACATTTTCTTGTGTTTCTGTTTATACACACATTTTGGCAAGAAAATAAAAAAAAACTTCAAAATTTAATATTTGTGTGTGTGTTAATACACATATCTTGACAAGAAGATTAAAAAACCTTAAAAATATAATATTTCCTTGTATGTTTGTTAATACACACATCTTGGCAAAAAAATTGAAAAATTCGTAAATTTAACTTATTTTGTGTGTGTGTTATAAAAAATGAAAGATGAGTCAATTAAATGTTAGCTGAACCATTACAAGAATCTTCAACCCATCGTCGGAACCAAACCAATCGTCTTCCCCTTCGATCTCACGACTCTCAACCATCTTCTCATCGCTTCTTTATCTCTAATTACCTCCCTCAAGGAAGGATCATAATTGCAACTACGAAAAAGCAATATCCTGAATTATTTTCCAACTGCTATGTCAATACATTTATATTCTCACCGTTCATATACACACATCTACATTATATGTGTATATACTATATAAATCCAGTAAACAGATATTTGATTAGTAAATTCTAAATAAATAAAAAAGAAACTCTGATTTCATAATTTTATTAACACAATAAAGATGTGGCAACTCACAAAATTACTTTGATAAAATATAATTACATTCACAAAAATCAAAACATGAAAGTCAATATATCCTATATTTAAAAAACTCTAATCAAAAAATCATATTGCTTTGCTTATAATTACAGTCTTAATAATCAATATCAAAAAAACAATGCACTTTGTTTATGGCTTGAAAGTTTTAATCGTTTTATTTAAATCGATTAGAGAACAAATATATCTCACGGTATTAATAATTAGATTTTAAAATTATTAAAATCACAAATATATCTTTATATTCTTGAACTATCAATTTTTAATATTTAAAAAAACTTCTTAAATCATTTCCAAAGCGGATGCACACGTTTTCAAAGCGGATATGCACGTTTGCAAATCGGAAACTCGCCTTTCCACGACGTTTCCAAACCAAAATTTTTAGAAAATGTGTTTCCATCGTGTTTCCATCAAGTTTCGCTTCCCAAACATGAAACGCACGTTCGATAGAGTTTCAATGCAACATAGGTCCAGAGGAGAAATATAACTTGCTATCGGGTTTAGCAATTTTTTTAAGGTAATGTAGTATAGAGTTCTCGCTTTTCGAATCTCTGCTGTTCTTCATCTGTAAAAGCAGTTCTTTTCCTCAAGTTTTTAGCTTTGGTTGGCTTCTTCAAGAAAGTGCAAACTGAAAACAGAAGAATGACAAATTTGTTGCTTACTATCTCCAGTTTCCTTAATTAAACTATTTGGCTAAGAGCAAAAAAAAAAAACTCTGTGGAACAAGTTGAAAGGTCTAAAATCACAACCAGGCAACACAAAATTTACACGAACTGAAAGAGAAGAAAGCATATATGTAAGTACATTGTTGAGACTCTTCTTGCTGATATGTTTTGGGTTTACAAAAATCTGACATTATGAGATAAAGACTATGTAAACACAATCACCCACTTGAAATTTTACCTGAATAGTAAAAGTATTATTTTTCTACGCTTAAATAAGGAACAAAAAAAATCAGGCGATTCAAAAATTAAGGGTTAAAAACGAAAAACTCATTATAACGAAAGATTTTGGATCTTATCAGAGTTTAATCTTAAAAAGATCTCTAAGATCATATCTAAAAAATGACAATGCACAATATAAAAACAGCCATCAGTAACATCGACAACAAGAATCAAGGAATTGGTATAATAATCAAGGGCGATAAGCATAAATCAACAAGAAAGCTCAACGGTATTGCTCATTATTGGATAATATAGAGGTTAATGAGCCATAAAACCTTAATCTATAGAGAGTGTGTATATGATATGTCTCATATCAGAAGTTGGGAGGGACCTTGACTAATATATAAGAAACTCGGGACAATCTATTCGTTGTCAATTGGTTTTGTGTTGAAAGCTCAGGAAACTTAACATGGTATTAAAGCCTGATCTGCACACTTTCGTAACTCTGACTCAAAAGTAGTTTGATTATGGTTTATTTCAAACCCAAAAATGGCATTGCCTCTTTGACCTGAAATTGATGGTCAAGATTAAAGTTTCATTTTACAGTATTTAGGCATTTATAAAATATACTTTTGCTGTGAAGTTGGAAATTATAATCGATAAATATTTCTGAATTAAACTTTATCATCGTTAATAAATAATTTATTCTTGTATTCCAAAATAGATTGTTTTTAAAATCGTAATTTCGTACCTTCAAATTATAATTATTATTATTATTATAACTTATTTTAAAACACGAAGCCAAAAGTCTCCAAAAATGTTATAGAGATTGTGATTTTGCTAATATATGACGTTTGTTTTATGGAAAGTAACATATCCAAAAATCTTTATTGTGCTTTACAGCTTGGTTCAAATTTTTAATTTCTATGACTTATTTTATTGGATTCTGAATAAATTTTAATTATAATTAAATGATCGAAACCCATAGATTATGTGAACTCTACCATATTAATAATAAATTGTATGTGGCAAATTTTAACATCTAGTTATATCATATAGTCTCCCACATTCGTTTGCTAACACTAGTTACGGCTAACACATGGGGAGATTGGCATTTAGCTATTGACATTTTATTATACATTAGCTGGACTGAAACCAAAAATCAGAGGCTCTTTTAGTAGTACGTTTGGCAAGTCCTCAATACTAGTTGTTTCTATTTCTTTTAATATTCACAACGAAATTTTAGTTTCTTTGAAAATGTAATGATTATTTTATATAGACAATAAATTCAATGATTCGATCCCATCAACTGAAAATAGCTAAACAAATAAAATACACAACTGACATATAAATTTGGTACAGCAGCTTAACAACAACCGGATAAATTAGTAAAAGTGGAAATCAAATTCTCAAATACATGAACTCTTAGAATTGATTAAGAAGAGAGGAGGTCCAGACCACAAATATAGTATATGTAAGCAAATGGGGTGGCACACGGTCGACGCTCCCGGAGGATGAGCCGGGCCCAGTGGAAGGAGTGGTCTTGGAACCACCTCCAACTCCTGCGCATGGATGAGGAAGTCCCGTTAAGAGAGATTAAACAATTATGAAGTGTAGCTTGGTTTTAGTGTTGAAAGGAGTTTGTACCTGAACGACCACCTGGTGATGAGGATGGGGTTAGTGCCACACCTGGGTTCTCCTCCGTCGGAGAAAGTGCGGGAAGAGGTGCTGTCGGCCCAGTGGCCACTAATATACAAATACTGTTGTGAGTGAGACTATATCTGAACACGTAACATAAATACTTATAACTTAGGTTACCGTTGCATTGTGTGAGGGGAGGCGCCTGAATGTTGCAGACGTTGGGGAGCTGCAAGGCCTGTGTGCGATTAATGTTAAGGCCGATGTTAGGGATTGGACTGTTTACGGCAGAGCAGATGCACTGCGGCGAAGATTTGATGACAGAGTCGAGCTGAGAGCAGCAAGTCTGTGAGGGAGTGGTTGAGTTTCCGGTGATGTAGGTGAGGCACGGAGAAAGGGTGGTCAGTGTGCTCACGCATGACCCGCTCGGCTGTGATTTTGATACGCCCAATAGAGCCGCCACGAGGGCTACCAATGTGATAGCGTAGATACTTGTATACCCCATAACTTGAGTTATTATTCTTCAACTATTGTATGTTTGCTTTGGTTTAGTTATAGGAGGAATTGGTCAGAAAATGTCAAAGAGACTGGTATTGTTGGATGACCTACTTTACGTAGTTTATGGTTATCATAACCAATATGTTCTAGATATATATACCCAAGAACCATTAAACTTAATCTGAGTAATAATATTGTTTAAACGCCACATACACATGCGGTCATATATTTTTGCATGCTAGCTCTATTTTACGATTGGAATAAAGATTGTTAAATCCTAAGTACCAAAATTAATAGGAGTGTACCAAACTCACCTACTAGCTCTTGGTTGATTAAATAAAAAAAGACATTGTGTGTTGATCATAAGGAGATTGAGAGATGATTATAGATTAGTTGGAAGTTGTTGAACTCCAATGCACCCACTTAAATATGTATATATATATGTATATATATACAATTAAAATTATGACTCGAGCCATCTTCACCTGAGAATTAACCAAGCCAAAAATGGAAGGCTTAACACTGATAGTAGTGGTGATGTCAAGCTTAATGTTGGGAGTGAAAGGTCAGCAGATAATTAGCACCCCATGCACCTCCTCCATGATCTCTACCTTCACTCCATGTCTCAACTTCATCACCGGAAGCAGCGGCGGCTCCGTCACTCCCACTGCCGGCTGCTGCGACTCCTTGAAGTCGTTGACCAACACTGGCATGGAATGTGCTTGCCTCATCCTCACCGCTAATGTCCCGCTGCCTACTGGCTTCATCAATCGGACTCTCTCGCTTGCTCTCCCTCGTGCCTGCAAAATGAGCGGTGTACCTGTTCAGTGTCAAGGTTTTAGCTTTACTCTATTTACTTATTTATGAACTTCTCAATATTAATCCCATGATTAATGACTCAATTTGCTTAATTTACAGCGGCGGGGACTCCTCTGCCAGCGCCAGGTTTAAAATGAAAATCCGCTCATTATTATTGTATTGTACATTTATATATGATTCAGTAGCTTTTCATTACCCTTTATTTAACTAATATGTTGGGCAGGTCCGGTTCCATTTTTGCTGGCTCCACCACCGCCTATGTCTGCTTTTAGCCCCGGCTGTGAGTAATTAATCAACACAATCATGTTATGATGTATTTTTTAGTCATGGTTTGAGTTTGATTTTGGACTCATCTGATTAGCGTCCAAGGCGGCGGCGACAGCACCGGCGCTGGCGCCGGATGCTCCTGCGGATGGACCGATGGGCCCCACAGCCACACCAAGAATTCGACCGGTGGTTCAGCCCTCGCAACCCACCAGCCTCGCTCAATATTCTACTTCTCCATTTCTTCCCTTGCTTTTCTCTCTCTTGGCTCTTCTCACTTTGTTGACTTTGTAAGCCATTCGGCGCGTCTCCATATTCAAAATTGTTACCCTTATGTATCTGTGTTGCCATGTACTTTTATTACGATTCATCGTCACATATTATTCGCTATTTCATCTCAAGTTTTACGTAACTCCCTCATTTTTTAATTTGTCAATAACAAAAACATCTATCGAGGCCTCCTCACCTTGCACTTAGTACTTATCATGTCTAATCTGTACAGATTATTATTTACCGTTGCCGCCATTCTTATGAATTCTGAACAAAATGCCAGCGTTTCTGAGTCCAATTACTTAGGAAGTTAAAGAATACAATGAAACAAAGCACCTGCTCTCCAAAAGAAAGGGATTCTTAGACTTTGTCCATATTCTATTAAAGAAACAAAAAAAAACCAACAAATAGATTACAACACATACGACGAGAGAGAAGGGTCTTGTCTCGACTATCGTAATAACTACACGGCAAGAAAGAAACTACACTTTTCCTATTGAACATCATCTCCTTTATACTATTCAAATAACTCAAACATGTAAAACAGTTTTTGGATTTAAAAAAAAAAATCTACGATTTACGTTACCGCGATTTTATTTGGTGCCTTGAGATAAAAAGGCAAAATCACATGGGCTGTTTCAAGCCTCTTCAAGCGCTTTTTTGATGTCTTTCTGCTCACACAACACATGATTCCGAATCACGACAATGACAATATATATAATACATAAGACGATCGATTTGGAGAGGTAAAGAATGCGTACCTCGATTGATAGCGGTGTAACCATGGTTCCGTAACGATCAATGACTAGGCCATCTTTGCCGACCAAGAACTTGGTGAAGTTCCACTTAATTCTGGAACCCAGAAAAGTGGGTTTACTTGCCTTGAGGAACTTGTAGAGTGGTGCTGCGTTTTGACCGTTTACGCGTACCTAATCCCACATTTCACAGTTGGTCATATACACATAATCAACTGCTAAGTGCTGGATCACCATACGGATTACACTTGGTCTAGACATACCAAAAACAAGTTCATAGAGCTACCCATCATAACAAGTAACTCATTTCAAGCGTCTTGATCTAGCCTAAACCACTAGAAGAAAGAAAGGATTAGCTTATAGCCATACCTACCTTTTGGAAAACAGGGTATTCCGCCTTAAACCGTGTACAAGCAAATTCATGAGCCTCTTGACTGGAGCGGGGCTCCTGGTAAAGAAACTGGTTGCAAGGGAATGCCAATATCTCAAACCCTGATATAATGGCAATAAACATAAGAGAGCAATGCATGAACGAACTTGCAACTGCATTAGCAATAAGCCCTAAACTAATTAATTTTTTTTTAAAAAGAAGACCTTGGTCCTTGTATTTCTGGTAAAGTTCGGTGAGCTGGGAATAATTGGTTTCGGTGAAACCGCTGTTTGCACAAACCATATGTGAAATCATTATCAATAAGAAGGAAAACGCGTAATTTGTAATAAATAAAAAGAGACGAACCATTTGGAAGCGACATTGACGACGAGGAGGACTTTCCCTTGGTAAATGCTCAAATTCACGTCCTTGCCGGAGCTATCCTGTGTTTCCCAGGAAACAATAATCAGAGAGACGATTCAATCGAAACACAAGACAAGTTTTTTTCTTTTTACCTTTACGGTGAATTGATGGACGGATCTCTCGGGAACCGAAACAGAAGCACCCATCTCTCTCAATCAATCTCTCTCTCTCTCTCTAAATAAAAAGAAAAGGGACTTTCTCAGGAGCAAGGAACAACCTTTTATTTATTTTAATTTTTAACCTTTGGTCTTTTTAAGCGCGTGCGTTCGTGTGTGGACTCTGTTTCTTCCTTCCTCTTTTTTTCCTTTCCAGTCTTCTTCTCTCGCTGTCTGCTTAGTGCTTAGTGCTTAGTGCTTAGTGCTAACATGTCTGACATGAGAGCATTCACATTGAACAAATGTTTTGCCTTTTTTAGAAATAATCCAACTCAAGTATTCTCAACAAAGAGATGTAAGCCTCTTTCACTTATTCACATTATTCTTATTCATGTGCAACGATATCTACCCAATCAATTCCACAGGCGTCAAAGTAACCACTATTCATTCAATTGGAATATAATTATTCTTAAGAGAATGAAGAATATACATCATACACTCCAAGGTCAAAAACCCACATAACCAAATAATGTTGACAACAACCAAAAAATAACAGTAAAGAAAGCAAAGGAGAGCACAAAGATATTAAACTCTTCTCAATCTCTACAACTCGCCTCTTTTTTCTCCCATCTTCTCACTCTCTCTGCTTTGCATGAGGTTCTGATTCCAAAAGAAACATCATATCATATGTACACACTCACTTCTTCATCATATCACGTTTTCCTCTCAACAACCCTTTACTTCCATTGCTAGCAATTCTCTTTTCTAAATTAGAGCCACATCACCTTGGTGTTTTTGCTACTAGCTTCACACCACCCTCCTCTTTACTACTTTCCGTCTCTGTCTCTCAAGTTTCTCTAGTCACCTCTCTGATGCCACATGCCTGGATCTGCGAATCAACAAATGATATTCGGGTTTATGTCCCATTAATCTTTTACTCCACCATTAAATGCCAAATAAACCTCAAATGTCAGAAGAGACATATACTACGTACGATTCCAGTAAACATAGAAATATCATGGCTCATATCATATCCCAGGAATTAGAATGTTATGTATGGCTCACTAGAAAATGAGTAAATTATTGGCCTTTCATGACTCTTAAGGTTGTTCATTCCGAGCAAGAGTGGATTTCCAGAAAAGCAATTAAAGAGGCCAAGGAGCATAAACGTCTAACTTCCTTACCTCTCATTCCAACTGGAACAGGTCCTTCAGAATGCGGCTTAGGGTGAAAAGAGTGTCTGTTGTTATACGCACGAGGAGGATGATTCCACCGGTGGTTTTGGAACCTTCCAGACTCACGTGGAGGGCCACCATTGTATGAACTGGATGGATATGGGCCTTTGTGTTTGTCTTGATATCTGGAACCTGCGAGATAATCATATCAGAATTCCCATTACCGCATCATCAGACGGCACTTATGATTGTTGTCAGGCATCTGTGTGCCCATATATATATATATATGCATATGTATGTCTAATGAACAGACACTGGAGGTAAAAAGCCTAACCGTAAGAAGAAGATGGTGGATATCTCCAATTATCTCGGTTCTCGTATGGTGCATGCCTCATTCTCTCATGGTTATCATGAAAATTCCTTTCATCACAACTCAGCAGATAATGAGATCTGTGGGAATACGATGGACCATCCCTACGCGACTTCGTATGGTGGTCCAGCTCTGTATATGAGTATTGATGCTGTGGTGGAGGAGGAGGGGGATGTGGATGAGATGGATAAGGCCTAGGCTGGAAATTAGAACCATCTGCCTGTGGCATGCTATTCGTCAGTTGTACACCGGAACTATAAGATGACTCCTGGCCTTGATAATGCATTGTGTTTCCAGCCAATGGCGGATTCATCCTTTGAGGACCAGCCTGATGATCTCCCTGCATATTAATCAGAAACAATAGGATAAGTGACCATATCAAGAATTATCATCATGTATATAGTAAAAGGTTCCTTAAACAAGAAAAGGGACGTACATGCATATTGGGATATCCACCACTGTCAAAGCCAGTTGAGTAGGAATCAGACATGGCACACTGAGCTTGCTGTGAAGTGGGAGCTGGTGGGGGCGGGGGAGGTGGTGGCGAAGAAGATGGCAGTGGTGGAGAAGACAAGGACACATGCTGATGTGAAATGCCAGAGACAGTCGGATGCTGTTGTCTAGGCTGACAATTGGTAGCCGTTATTGTATTATCGGCTTGGCCAGTGAGCGTGCAGTTTCCAGTTTCCCAGGGAGGAGCCACATCTTCCATTTCAAGCTCGCCATCAACATCTTCCAGTATAAGCGTATGCCTTTCAGCAGTCGAGGACGAGACATTTTCTTCAAGGATTCTGGATTCATGTTCAGGGGTGACAGACTCAAAATCCCCTCCATCCGAGTCACTCTCTCCGTCCTCATCCTCAAGCATTACGGGCATGCAAAATCCAGGGAGCTGGAGAGTTGAATTACTAACATGCAAAGATGAATTAGGTTGACGAATCAGGAGACGAGGACAAAATTATGAATTCAAAGGACCCAAAATCTTACCTTCCATATTCATCCACCAGCATTCCCTCCATATCTCTCACAGGATCATCCAACGACCTCTCTGTTCTAGCTGAGCGCCGGGAATAGAGGCAAGCAGGAACTATACTATGTGAATCAAGTTCTCTTATATGCTGCCGAACAATTGAATCCGGCAGGATCCGTCTTTCAAGCCAAAGCCTTAAAACCTATAATTAGCAGAAAGGTTGAGAAACAACAATGATACGTGAGAGCTAACAATTTTTGTTGCACACCTTTAAGCACTGTCTCCGATTTTCTTGTGTGGTAGCTCCAGCAGGGACAGCAGCGGCTAATAGGCGAGGTAAAATTACTTGAATGGCTGAAAGATAAACACAACCAGCATCACCTGGAAAGATGGGCAGTATTCAATGGTCAACTCTAAGGTCAGAACTTCGCTGGTGAAGCTTAACGAAAGACACTGCATATGACTTACCTTTTAGACCTTTGGAGTATTGAGCAATAGAATCCACAAGGAAAAATAAGTCCACCCTCCTCTGTAAATTTGACTCGCTTTCCAAAGTATGGGCTAAAATCTCCATTGCCTTGTTCAGTAAGTTCATCAAGACTTATTAACAACGGATAATGCAAACAAGAATGCTTTCACAAAACACACCAAACATACAAAAATGGCCATCTTTCTACATCAACTAAGCAAATCCAAAATACAAGTCAAATCATCTGTTGTAACCCTGCCTCGGGTGGCTGTCAACAGCATCCTACGAAGCACATAAAACAATAGCATATGATTCTCAGAACAACAGCCGTCATTCAGTTCCCATGGCCTTCACATAAAACTATGATTGATTAAAATGATTATGTGGTCTCTTCTTCTACGTCGAAGCTACGTATTATTCTATCTCAAGGGCTAACTCCAGAAAAATGTTTCTTTAACGAGGACGTCAAAGTTACCCTCTAGATGACTTATGGCAGCAACAAACAGGTAATCAAAAATCAGAGAAAACGAGAAATCTCCTACCTTCGCAGAGACATCAAATTTCATTAAGTCCATTGCCAAACGAGTTGCTCTGCCAATACTCTCCTTTGTCCTCACCAATGAACTAAGTGCATCCTCAAACGATTCACGAGTGGATTGCACATCAGAACTAACAACTTTCTGTCCCTGACATGCACCTGTTTCAATTTTCTCTTCTTCTTTGATAGTGGCATCACAAACAGTTTTCTTCTCACCAGACTGAACATGTGGGCTGCAACTACTGTTGTTCTGTATATCATTTGCACTTTCTGCGGTAGACATATGGTAAACTGAGTTGCTATGTGGAGTCCCCCGCGCAGGAGTGTCTGCAATATTAGCAGGAGATAAACTCATTTTTTCACGTGAAAGGTTCTCAGATACCGAGATAGAATTGTTGATTTGGACCTGCTCCTTTTGATTATCAGCCTCACAACTGAAAAAGTACATGAGTTTACACTCTTGTTAGTCAACTAGTTCTGTTGTGAAGCAGAAAATTGACTTTTCATTGGAACTCAGAAAATATTAAGATAACAAAACTGAATCTTACTGCTGTCTGCCTACAATTCATATCCTCTACATAGACTCTAATATGTAAAACCAAATCATAAAAGGAATTAAAATACTTTAAAGGAACAACCCTAGAAGGAAAAAGTACAAAGAAGATAAATTATAATAGGAAACGGAATTCTTCCTTCAGAGAATCTCTAATACAGACAGAATCCTAGTTATGTCCTACATCATTCTAAGTACGAGGACTCCAGAGAAAAAATCCATTGTGAGCTTAGGATTACTTCTAATCCCTTGTGCATAATAAAACGGGAACTCGAATACTAACAATAGAGACTAGCATTAAATACTAAGAATAGACACTCACATTATTTCGAGCTGCCTACTGTTCTCAACAGTGCCCTCGCATTTGCTGTACCCTGTTGCATTTGGAGGTTCACTTTCATTAACTATCACATCACTTTCAGTCGCAGAAGTGGGTGGATTTGGTGTAGTCTGATTAGGTTTGAGATTATCATATTCTTCACTCAGACTTTCATGCTCTTCTTCCAGCGGCAGGTTTTCAGCCTTTTGCGTGTTCTCAGCCTCCTGCTTATTCACCAGTAAACAAGACGAGGGAGAATGTTCTAAAGCTTCAGATTGAACAGTATGGTCCACGCAAGAATCATTTCTATCGCCTTCTTCAATCAGGTGTTCATGAAAATTGTCCAATGAATCACAAGCATCCTGGTCCTGGCTTCTGTGCTGGCCAAATAATTGAGGTATCCCTGATGAGCATATCCCAGAGGTCTTGTTTTCAGATGAATCCACAATATTGGGATCCAAGGGTATTGCAATTTCAGAAACTTGATGTAAGCATTGTACGGCTGGAAGGTCAGACTCACTATATGGCAGCTTCATGGGTTGTGAATCCCCACAGCACACAGCTTCAGAAACACTAGCAGTCTGAGCTTTGCCAGCTGGCGAACGGCTAACTTGATTAGATTGGGTTCGAGCTGCTTCATCATCTGGTGCCTTGCTAAGCTCATTCCACCCCATAGCATATTCTCTATCGCCCACAGCCTGAAAGCAAGCTTCAGATGGAAACATACCTTCAGAAGGCTTCTCTACAGGATATGGTGCTCCATTAACCATGTCACCTGAGAGCTTAGCAGACAACTCAAAATTGTTAGATTTTCCGGCCGCAGAAGTATCCTGACTAGAACCAATATCAGACGGGCTTATCTGTGCTGTTGCACTGACCAGAGTATCCTTCGATGATCTTTCTTCAACCTGCAAAGAACCATTGGCCTTGTGTTCACCATAAAATGCTCTACTCATCCTGACTCTGGCTCGTTTAACCAGAGGCAAGTGCTCATCACCCTTCTCTTCACAAGGTCTCTCAGTAAACATTTCATCAGAATTTTGTGATGTCTGAGCGTTATCACATGCTCCAGCCTCAAGAACTGCTTCAGCTTCTACTTTAGCCGGAGGATCAACAGTATTACTAGCTCCACGTTTCCTAGTAGGCTTTCTCTTCTTTCTCTTAACCATGGTATTGATTTGGAAATTAAGCCTCTTGTTGAGGTCATAATCTCCTTCGAGAAACTGTCCAGCAATATCAGAATGTTCGACTCTAGAACCAGAATCTACACCATTGCCTTCATTCCTAGTATTATTATTGGATTCAACCGTCGCAATTTCGGAGGCATTTTCATCGTCGCTTCCATGCGAATTTAAAGCTGATGAAGCCACATCACCTGATACAGAATGAGCCGATGATCTTCTCCTTTTTCTCCTTCTTAATGCTCCATCTTCCACTTCATCAATACTTTGTCCACCATCGCTGTATTGCAACATGGAGCTTTGAAGCTTATCTGATTGCAACCTTGATGAACTTTTAGAGCGCTGAACCGAACATATCTTTTTTTGTGGAGCACCCCTTTGAGATCGTGCCCCTCCATTTCTTCTCCTTGAAGAATATGTTGCTATCTTACGTGGTTCTTTAACAACTGTACTATCAGAGGCTTTGTTACGTGGTACACTGTTATCACGCAGGGCTAGCATTTGTTCAGCAGCTGAAGCATCCTCATTAAGCAGAGTAGATTCATCTATACCATGACTAGGATCATACTTCATTTGTGTGTCAAGGCTTGTCCCATTTGGAATTTCACTGACCTGAGGCAGCAGTGTACTATTCCCAGCATTCCCAAGATTGGATTCGTCAGCAGATCTGGGGTCATCAACTCGCTCTTGCTGTTTCAGCTTCTCATAACTCTCTATGATCTCCTTTACAGCACGAACAAAATCTGACCCTTTCGCATGGCGTTTTGTCAAAAGTGATTGCTTCTTTTCCTCTGTAAATGCTTCAACATCGGCAGGATTGCAGAACGCTCTGCACATGAATATAAAATAACAACAAAATGTCACTAACACCATACGATTGCATCCATGAATTAATTCTCACCGTCTTGAGGGTGACGCATACTTCGAGCACTGAGCATTCTAAAGTGACCACATTTTCAGTTGACCAATCAAATTTGGCTCTTGCACAGCTGTGTCGCTGTTCACAGAGTGCTATTTAGACTACAATGAATTGAGCAATGTTTTTCTATTCAACATAACTAGAATGAGAACAGTTTTCAAAGGAGAATAATTCAACTATAAAACCTTCATACTCATGTACGTAATCTTGTAATAATTCTCAGGAATGAACAAACCGGCAGGAAGTCTTTTAGGGGGAATACAAATTACATCCTGTCTTTACAAGATAAATCAATAATGAAGCCAATAAGCAAGGCTAATGATTTTTTTCACGCAAATTAAGGGACCAAAAGTCATGACTTGACCAGGCAATCGCAGTAAGTGAATTGATGTGTAAATACGAAAATTCAAATTAAGATCTCAGCATTCAACCAGGGAGTAGGACCGACCACAAGAAGAAGAAAAAACATAAAAGAGAAAGCAAAAGGTAGAGGTTAAGGGATGAAACTCACATCTGTTGAGTTCCAAAAAAGTGAACCAGCACTTTTTTCCAATCAGTTGAATATCCCCACTTTTCCGGCTCACTAACCTGAAATCGCATCCAGCAATAAGTAGACAGGGGCAAGCAGTCGAAAAAAGCCTAACGAAAGCGATGAGAGAGACGAGGATTCTAAGCGTATAACCACAAAGACATCACCAAGAAGAACTTATTATTGGATATATGATGCGGCTGAGGCTAAAACAAGGGCGAACTATAATTTGTGTGTTCCCCATCTCAATCCTCAAACACATATATTGTTGAAGTATTTGAAGTGCCAATCCATTCAGGATGTTAATGACACTTGAGATATAGAATACTTGCTAAGCTAAGCTAATAAAGAAGGGGGTTTTATAGCTAACAATCTACGATGTCACACAAAGCATGAACAAAAGCAAACACACCATAAGAAATATGAAGAGAAATTAAAGCGGAATAAGAGCAAATTAAACAAAGCAAAAACAGATTATAACTAAGCTTCAAAGATAAAAGAAAGATTGGAGACCAAGGTATTTGATGTAGGCTGATCCTCATTCATGTGTAACCTCAGTTGACAAACGACAGAAGATCCAACCTAACAATGATTATTGGTCCAAAATACGCACTGGAAACACATATACATATAGACACAGATAGGATTGGCTACGCTCATATGGAAAAACTAGGAAACTTGAATATAAGGCGAAATAGAAAATTACAGATTAAATAAAATGCAATAGTGATCACATACCGCGGCAGGCCAAGCAGGAAAACCTTTGACTTTGGCAAGCACAAGGTCGCCCACCTTCCACTGTCGGCAGGCGGCAGCTACGGCGGCAGCCTTACCACCGCCTTTCCTGCGGCTGGGAGCCATTATGGAGAGAAGGTAATATCAAGCTGGGGAGAAAAGAATCCTAAGTCTCCAAGTAAAGCAAGAATCGGAGGCGAAAAGGGACAGACTGAGAGTGTCTAGGGTTTTCGGTGAAGGATTCCCCAGAAGAACTCGCAGGCATTGAAACCCCGGCCCAATCGGACGTAGTGGGCTGGCGAGACGGCGACCCCGTAAACCCTAATCGAGGCGGAGGAGAGAAGAAGACGATTGATTGGTTTCGCTTTTGTGGAAAAGAAAAATCTGTTGATATTGTTGAATGGAATGGTCATTGTTAACATGCGCCTCCGATGCGTAGGTTAACACGTAGATAGACACGCTCGTGAGCCAACCACCATCCTGTCTGTCTGTCCGTCTGTCTTGGAAAAAACCCATTTATTTCAAACTATTCAGGCCCAATAAAGAAGGGCCCATTTAAGATGTACGATTCTGTTTGCCCAAAAGCCGATGGTTGTGATGATATACACAACAGTACGTATGTTGCAAAGATTTCGATTTGGAATTCTTTGATAGTCACGTCACCCAACCTACCACTTCAAGTTGAGGGCCAAATCAAGAATGGCTTCAACTTGACGTATGGTTCGCTTCTTCTCCTGCTGCTTCAACTTACGTGCTATAGCTTCGGGCTCAAGCCCCTTCTCACCAGCTTCCTCCTCGACTTCCTCTGTTATTCTCACTTCCTGTAGCAACGCATCAACCTCTCTTACAAAGTCTACTCTCAGGAGGGTGTTGTCCGTCTCAACGGGCGGTCGTAGCGGTCCTTGATGCTGCAAACACAACGTCTGTGATTCTTTTTTCTGTGCAAAGGTAAAACAAAACACACACAGGGACGCACCATGTCAATGTCAAATCCCGGTGGCATTAGAATGCTGAAGGGGTCTTCTCGTGGGAATGTCTCCGTCATTCGTTTTCTGCAGTCTTTCATCCAAGCATCGTCTCCAAAGCCATCATGCATGTTTAGAAGATCATTCAGTAGTTTCATCGCAGGACTTGCTTGCCGTTTTAAGATCTCTGTCTGGATAAGACAAAATAGATTATAAGGATTCACTTTCCACCTTTGCCTTTCCAGTTTCATGACTAAAAAGTTACACAACAACGATCATAAAAGACTAGGCCACCATATTTGACATATGACAAAGCTTGAAGATGTTGAGATATAAAGCATCAGCAGCTCAAGATAGAAAGAAAAAAAAAAACAATCCACCGAAGACACTTACCTCGACTCTTCTATATAAGAGATCAAGACTTCTGATGGCGTCCTTCTCATCCTGAAAGTAACACAGGAGTGAGTGAAGGACGTGCACAATACAAGGAGACCACAAAATTAGGAAAAAGCATATGACAAAGGAACAAATGAAACTTACATCGCGCCGAGCAAGGTCAAGCCGGTTCCATATGATCATGAGAACAAGCTCGTCCAGTTCTCCTTTCTCGGCTGCTTCTTCAATTCTCTACACAAAAATTCTCTACATAAATAATCAGACGTGTCTTTCATTGATTTCTGCTGTATCTGTAACTGGGCTCTCTTTTTTTGTTTTACCTCTTCGACTTCCTCAGCAGCTCTGATGAAGCTGGAGACGAGCTTTCTAGCTTTCCTCAAGTCTTGCTCAGGAAATTCCTTCAAGCGCATGCCGATTTCACGGTACTCTTCCATCTTCCTCTCCTCCTCTTCTTCTTCCTCCCGCTGCATCCGCCGCAACTCCTTCGTCTTCTCTCTCTGTCGAGCTTGCCATTCCTGATATCAAAACCCTACCGACTTAGAAAATGCAGATATTCAGATTGAAACGAAAAAGGCGAACATACATCATCATAATACTCCGGTGGCATTCCTTCTAAAAGCACTTCTTGTCCTCCATCTTTCCCTGAGCATCTTCTTAGGAATTTAGCTGAGAAATCAAACCAAACTCTAGCTGAGGATTTTGGGCAGAATAATTTGGTAGACGAGACACACTAATTCGGAGAAACTGACCTGTAGAAATCGAGGGCTCTGTGCTCAGCGTCGCTACCCTAGCGGAAACAGGCCGGCTTCTGAACAGAGGAGATGCGCACGCTAGCGCCAACGACGTCGCCGCCATAGTCGTCGTCTATCGGAGACAGCCTCTGTAATCTCGCGAGTAAAATTCTACTTGCCAAATTTCTCAAATTAAGCCCCCGTAGTGTATCACATTTACTCCCCTTAGTTTCGAATTTTCCAAATTAAACCCCGTGTACGTGTGGTGCGGATAATATCACATTTACTCCCCTTAGTTTTTAATTTCTCAAATTTAGCCGGCGTGGTGATTACCTTTCATCTGAAAAGGTCGTTTGACACATTGCGAATGATGTTTACTCTAAATTTGATATACTACAGTATATATAGACAAAGCTAGTTTTGAGGAATAAAAAGTGATGATCACAATTTAGATATACGCCGAGTTGAAAGAGAGAGAGGTAAGGCTAAAGTTGCTGGCAAGTCTCGACGATGAGTTCCGTAGCTGCACCCATAGTCCCAAGGCCGCCGGCACAGAGTAGAGCGAGAGCCAAGTCTTGCTCGTTCCACTGCCTCAGACTTTTGCTTAGCCTCTTAATCACTTCCACATCCATCTCCAGCACCCAAGCCGGCGTGCATTGCACCATCAGGCTCACAAAGCCAGTCACGTAAGCTTGCCATGTGGCCCAGTCGCAACCCAGCGATATCTTCCCTTCTAGGGCACTGACCAGGAACTCCAAATGCAGCCACAGCACTCTTGGCCGACGTTTTGAGGCAGGAGATGAGGAGTCCACTCCCCAAGCGAATGCACTGCTCAGGATTGCAAAGTAGGCTAAAGCATAGCCTCTTAGCATCGGAACCATACCTCCCAACTCGTCTTCTTCTCCGTGAAATGAGATGAACCAAGATGGTAATGTCTCCTTGAGCAGAGCCTGAACCAGGTTCAGCCCACCAGAGATCCACACCAGCGATGCTCCCAGCGAAGCTGCCAGCTTGACACGCGTCATCGCCAAAGAGAGTGAAACCTGCCCAATCCTGTACCTCGAACCATCTTTCGTTTTCTTCAGTTTCTCCGCTTGCTCTGTTGGTAGCTCCCTCGTGGCGATGCTCTTCACAGAGAACATCAGAAGGGAGAGGATTTCCTCTGTCAGGAACATGACATCTCTGATTGATCGGTGCACTTTTATGTACAAGATTCCTGGTGCAGCTGTGGAGATTCCACCAGAGTATAGAGAGCCAAAGCCATGGCCAAGGAGTGCGCCCACTCCACCATAGCTGCAGAGTTGGGAGGTAGGCGTTAGACCAAGAGTGCAAGTGAAGCAGCTTCTGAGGAGCTGAATAACAGCATCGCTGTTGTGATGGAACACAGTTCTGGACGCTGAGAAGATAAGAAAGTCGCTCCAGCGTTTCACTTTCTGGGTCCACAGCGATGTCACAATCGGCATGCAGGGCCAGGGACAAGCCGCAGCAAGGGAGTCCAAGGCCGGTCCGACAAGTACAAGGAAGCGCTCTGTTGCTTTTTCGAGCTTGTAGGTTATAGTGAGGCTGACTAGTGCAGCGAGAGGCAAGGGAAGTGTAGCCGCAGAGATTCCATCTGCAGAGACAGACGTGTTTAAGGAATTAGAGTTTAACCAGCGCAATCATTGTTTCACTTTTTCCAGCGTGTTATATTCACTCTCTCTCTCTGCAGTTGTAGTTTTACAGATATTGAAAACTGTTTACAGGTCTAAGCAAGACCTTCCGGGGACATGTCAGGGACTGCCATGACCGCATGTATGGTTCGAACCTTTCATGTACGAAAGTCCCAGAACCTGAGAATATCCATCGTCCTGCGAGAGAAGAAAAGCATTACCTGCTGGAAGCCTTGGAACGTCAACGCCAGTAGCTGCTAAGATCTTCTCTATCTGTTGCTCAACGCTAGCTAAATTTGCTGCAGGACTAGGCCAGTCAGTTCCGTTCATGGAAACTGGCTTCCACAGACCTCGTGTTACTTCCGAAGAAAAATAGCTCACCATGGTTCCTAGTGTTGCTGGCAGAAAATCGGCCAGAATTTTAAGACCTGAAAGAAATCATGCCCACCCCACAATTAGCTGAGCGTATATGATGCATCCAAACAGTTGATGCTAAATAGCATATAATGTAGTGAGTCTGGTGACAGACATATATAGATAAGTATCCCCATGTCCAAACTGATTTTATACGGTGTTAATTTCTATAGTTTCAGGGGGATGGAGAAACCTGTAGCTAGTTCACGGGGAGAGAGCGATCCATGAGCACAGGCGGTAAGAGCAGCATCGAGCACAAACGGGGCCGCTTCCAAGATATCCCATGCAGGTAACTTGAGTTGATCGGAAGAGTCGTCCACCCCGGAAGTAGATAAACTACTGCTCCCTGAAGATGGAGTCAGTGACTGGCTACCACCTTTACTTGTCTTCTTGAACATCATGCTAAGGAGGGAATCAACAATGTGATGCACTGGGCTTCCTGTCTTTAGTTCAGAGAGAATTGAAGCCATGCATTCTTGATGCTGCCGATACCACTGTTTCAGTCTGGGAAATGAATCCATGAAGATGGGATCCACAGAGATATCTATGACTTTCGAGAATCTTCGACGTGCCATGCGATCCTTTGGGGACTTTCCAAAACATTCTAAACGGCAATTTCTCACTAACAAAAGATACTCAGGGCTTGGTTGAGGGCCCACCGGCGGTACATCTCCCAAGACATAATCTAGTGGTGGATGGTCAAATCTCCATAACCTTAGAAGAAGTGTAAATGCAGTGGAGAAAACAGCATGAGAGGAGATTATTTCGCCATTTGGGAGAGTCCATGTAATGTTCGGAATACCAGAGCCAAATGCTTCACAGATTGGCATCAAAGCACCAGCTAGCAAGGGGACCTGGCAAAAGAACACCATAAATTCTCTCGATCGAAAACAGCACATTCTTAGCATTAGTTAAAGAACAGAAAAAGAGGTTATATTCAACAAGACCTACCACACCGTGCAACGAGAAAATCTGGACACAATCTACGGGTGATATCCCAACAAGAAGAACATTAAGAAACGGGGCAGAACTGATTAGATGGCTGTAACTCCCAGAAAGATCAGCTGGAGCAGGAGGCGAGAGTAAAGTTACAATGAATATAATAACATGCTCCTGAAATTAATCAGAGACGGGGTTAAACATAAAAGATGAGGAGGCTTCAGCAAGAAGATCTGAGTGGAGCAATGGTCAGTACAGCAATAACACTTTCCAGAAAATGCGGATCACAGAAACAGCATCCAAAAGCAAAACGTACCTGTATGCTCCAACCACGAAACAGAGATGCCCCACAGAGAATAGAAGCCGCGGCTATCTTCTCATCTTCTGAACCAGTAGTTGCAACCTCGTACATCTTTTCGATCTCTGCTAAGCTTCCACCATATTAACGAGCTTAATTTCAGTTGCCTTATAGCTGAGAAGGTTATTTAAGACCAAAAAAAAAAAAAAGCGATGGAGTCTTGGAAACAGAGGATGGTCTTGGTAAGAAAACGTGCACAGATTCTTCCTACTAATGCCCCTTTTTAACCAAATGACCAAAAGAGAAACCTAAAAGATATCGATCATAGATTTAACATACCTAGAAGCTGGAGTTGTGATTAGCGAATTTGTCAATGATGGTGTTAGAGAAGAACCCTTCATCACTAGAGACCAACAGGAAATATTTCCAGCGATACCTTGAGGAACTTGATTGGTTCCCCTAATTACAAACCCTGGCCAGAGATATGCAGATGTGTCCAGCAGATTTCTGGAGATACAAGCTTCCACAACCAGATGGCGCATGTTACCAGCTGTGCCAACACATGCCACAATTACAAAACCGATGACATTCAAACAGACAGTTAAAAGGTCAAAATGATGAGGAAGAACAAGCCATAAGCATGGGAATAGAGAGCATGTTAACAAACAACCCCAATGAAGAATGCCGTCAAAACACCAAATAAAACCAGAACACACACACAGAAAAACCATTTTTAGAGTAAATAATGAAAACCGCACTCTTGGTAACAATTCAAAACCGGAATGCTGGCGCAATTTAACATTCAGAGAGTAGATTGCATGTTTACTTACAGCAGGCACTTGCAGATTCGTCCATGCTTGTACTTTCATAAGATCCACTACCATTTGAGATGCCGGAAATGAACGCAACTGCTTTAGCAGCAGCTTGATTAGCAACCGACTGTACAGATAGAGGTGGTGTCAGCAGGCTTTCATAGTCACCAAGTTGTTGTAAGCTATTGACTAATCCCTGTCGGCATTTTCCTTTTTTGTCTTTCCACTGGTGGCTTGGGCTAGATGCACTTTGATCAATCCACTGGCTTTCTTCTTCTTCAATGATGTTTGCAACTGCAAGTGGAGTGACGGATAGTAACACGCAAAGAAAAGTGTCGGTGCGAGGCACAGGACCCTCGATTGGATCTCTTTCCTTCAAATTACAACATTATTGGTCAATTAAAGATACTGCATAAGGCGCAACATTCTCATTATATGCTTCTAATCATGAATCATGCATAAGTTTTTATGTGGAACAGAAGTTGCTGCTTCACACATGTTACTACTTACTTCCGATTCATGAAATAGCAATTACGCAGACATTCATTCTTCTAGAAACACTAAGACAAGAACAACCTACCCTACCGCTAAGAGCTTAAAAATCTTAGTAGTGTCAGAATAGATTCCTACCCTTTGCACAAGGCGTAAGGCTGCTAGCCATAGAGCTAGAAAGGCATCATGCCATGTTGTACTATTAGCTGCCTGCAATGCTTTTACAAGACCTGAAAATACATGCTTATGTTCAAATAAAGCCCATAATCAGTATGTAGATATTTACGAGAGGAGAAATGTAAAAACGGCAATAGAGATAAATCTACTAGCACCAGTTAGATTTTCGACAGCGCTGGCAGCTGCAGCTTGTGTTCCATCCATTATGTCTTCGAAGAAAAGATCAATGGGTAGCCAAAGTGCAGAATCACTAGTCCCATGATGCTGACTAGTCAATGCTAACATAGAACCAGAGGAAACAATCGCATGGAACTCTCCTCGTGGGATGGTCTTGCTCTCCCTTTCCAGAAATTTACGTGTATGGGATGCCAAGTGTGTAAAGGCTTCTGGCTTAATATGTTTTGAATTCCTCACTGCCAATGATTTGGTTGCCAGCACTCCAAAGCGCTGACTAAAATCTTCCCAATGTGTTGGCCTGAAGAGAAAGGAAACTTAGAGGGCTTGGTTGAAAAAGATCTGAAGATATAGATACATTTGAATTCATTTGGAATAAAAATAATTACATCGGGCGAGCAGTGTCCACGATGATAAGAATCAGATAACTAACAGATAAAAAAGTAACGGGTGGTCTTACATGTTTTGACTTGCCAAATGAAGAATCCTCGATGTTACTTTATTCTGCAAAAAAACTTGGATTAGGTCGATAGCCATTTCAGTGTTTGCTTTCTCAAGCACGTCATGGTTGTCATTTCTCTTCACAGAAATTTCCAGCCCATCTATCTCCATGTCGTGTGGCCCGGTGGGCCATTTAGACCTCTTATTAGAGGTTAGTTCTAAAAGCCCTTCCTCGTCTAGGGATGCATCAACTAGCTGCCAGACAATGGAGAAGACAAATGCAAGGAGAATACTTCCAGGGTCTTGATTTTGTACACCAAATGTTTCAGAAAGATGGAGGATGTCATCGATGGATTTCATTGTCCTGTTCATTTTAAAATTTCACATTAGTATGCAAGGTAGAACGTAAAAGAAGAGAATTCTGATAAAAGTAAGATTAGCATTATGAGTACATATATAAAAGCCTGTATATTTATACAAATACTAGTGCAGCATTTCAACAAATCGACATTAAAGGAACTCACCTGTGATATCCAGATCCTCTAATTTGAGGCATGAGCGAGAATGCATGTCTCTTGAGGAGTTCCATATAGAGCCTATAGGCAGCGGGATGATGCTTTCTGTTCGGGATTACCCTAAAGTTCCAACCAAAATAATGATTAAAGGCTTGACAATATAACAGCAGAAACACATAAGCCTGTTTAAACACTATGATCAAGGCTAGCGGGGAAATATATTAAGTAGCAGCATAATGAATCCAATTAGGGGCGGGTCAGCGAGAGCAATTAGCAAGACGACACAAAAGCAACAGTCCCATGTGGTGGCAGTGTGATTGATAATCCTAAGACGAGTGATTAAACAGGAAAATAAGGTCCAGCGAGGTCGAAAGCTGTGCAGTGAAAGCTTTACGAGGGCATATATTATAAGTTGTATTAGGGGTTAACCTGTGGGAGAGAAGGGCGAGGACAAGTAGGGGCGGGACGATATCGACGGCTATAGATTTTTCGAGAAGCTTCCAGGAAAAAGGAGTGTGGTTTTCCCAGAAGATGTGGGAGACGAGGAAGTGAGCGAGGTCCGGTGAGGGAAGAAAGATTCCAGCAGAGGAGAGGGTCGAGCGAAGCTCAAGAGCCCAGTGAAGCGGATCAACGTTCTTATCCTGGGCCGACCTAATCAGCGACGAAACCGAGTCCCACAGACTCTGTTGGGAGTCCAGCGGAACCACCACGGCCATGGACGTCGTCTTGGGAGGCGGGGGTCGTCTCTTAAAACAAAGGAACAATGAGCAGCGCGTCTTCTCAATTTTGCTTCACCAATTTTTTTTTCTCTTTCTTGTATTGGTCAAACACGATTGTTTGGGAAAATGAAAAAGATATGGCAATACAAAAGTGAATTCTTTTTTTTTATTTACACAGGTCGAACGAGAGACTAGTCTTTTCTTTTTCTTATGTTCACATGTCTACTTCTTTGAATAGCCAAAAAAATAACCGCATTGTTGTTGTTGCTGCCAAACAAAAAAGCATTTGAGTAAACCCAAAAAACAAACCGGAAAGCTCTAACAAGTCTTAATCCTCCCATCAAACCAAACAAAAAAAGGAGTTACATCAAAGGGAGGGGGAGTAGCTTTATACGAAGAAACTTGGATATTCAACGGCGGTCAAGGCACCAGCAATCGTACTCTGATTTGGAGTTGTGGTAGAGCTCTTCTGGATTCATCTTCTCTAGCTCGCTCTGTTTCCGCGAAAGCAGACCATTCCCTTCTGCCTTTCCATGCTCTTGATCCCGCATTCTCTTGTACAGCCTCATCGCAGATACACAGTCCTCGTACGGCTCGTGCTTCCCGCATTGGATCTTGTATCTACAATACAAAACAGGTTTTATCTCTAACAGAAACTGAAGCCCCAGGGATAGATAAACCAACTCACTTTAAACTTACCCGAGATATGACCTTGTGAGGTACCTCAGCGATTGGCTCACGAGGTTTGTCTTCATCAGTGGCACGTATTTTGCTGTGTCTCTGAGGTGAAGCAAAGGGAGCTGTATATTATCAGTGACGGGCCTGGAAGGAGAGACATGAAACAAAAAGAATCAAAGGTACCTCAACAAATGGCAAGGATATTGGAGTTTCAAGCAATCCAAATCATGCCTAAGGTCATGGCCAACAAGAAGAAGCCTCCCAGTGCCATCATTATGTCCAGCGCACAAGACTGCTAAAACTTTTGCTCGGACATGCTCAAGTGGCATACCATCCTTCAAATCTTCTTGGGTCAATCCAGTTAACTCGTGTCTGAGGATTAGGCGGGTGAGAGTGATAATGATTTACGAGTAAGAATTAAAAGAATATACCGAAACTAGCACAAGGCAGCAGTACCTGTAATCGGTGACAGGGAGCTGTGGTTGGACGTGAGTGGAGAGGATCACCTTCTCGTCCTCGTCAACAAGGCAAATGGATGCGCACAGATCAATTGACCCGTCATCACCACCACCAACCATTTCACAGTCAATGGCCACTGCCTTGAGACGTGTGCCACTTGTGTTTACACCATAAGCATTCCCTTGGCTAGCTGTTCCCTAAGTCCAGAATTGCGAGCACGAGTCACATGAGAAAAGAATACCACTTGGTTATCTAGTTTTGGAACGCATTTCTTATATCATAGAAGCAGCAGAGAATGCCGGATGATCCTAACAAGAAAGAAAGAACAGAGCCAGAGATGAGGTTCTTAGCTGATCAACTTACAAGAGCAGGAGGTGGAGAGAGGTGACACTTGATTTTATGCTCAGCAAGAGCAGTGGCTTCCTCAAAGATTTGAAGGCAGAGAGTACAGCCTCGTTTAGAGAAGATGGCTTTGCAGTCTCCTTTGAATAGATGGTCCGGAACTGATGACGGAATCAAACATCAAATCACATGAAAGGCAAAGAGAAAAGGATCGATCTGATCATATCATATGAGCCATGCCGTACCGTTGAGGTGTTCCCGAACAGACTCGAACGATTTACAGTGCTTCAGGCAAACCCCACAGCGAGGCTGATGAGCTGAATGGTGCGAAATCTTCATGTGCTCAACGAGGTGTTGGCGTCTATTGAACATCTTGTAGCACGCAACGCATTTGTGCCTGCGGGGTCAAATTCCCGAAAAATCATCAACTCGAATATACCCTAACATTGAATTCCGGGGGATTAGAGAGGAACATGAGAGAAGCGAACCTTATCTTGGGAGTTTTCCGAGAAAACAACTGAGATTCCATGGAAATCAAAGCGAGCTGCTGATGACGTGAAGACGAAACGTAACCGCCTTGGGGTTTTAGTGCCACGGCTGATGAGTCGAAAGAAAAGGAGGAGGAGGGTTTTTTTATTTACGTATCTAGAGCAGCCGGTCATTGTTGCAAACAAGCCCCCAGGGTATTTTCATTTCACATAAATAAACCAACATAAAAACGAGGTTTTAACTAAAACCCAACATATAAATTTATAACAAATTAGCCCCTGGAAGCTGCAAAGTTTCTCTCTAGTGGTGCAGAATCCAAGGCCTGTCCATATACCTGCCTGCTTGCTTGACTTAAAAAGTAATAAAGGTTCCTTTCAACATCTCATTGATCCGAAGAAATGCTAAATTTACAACAGTAGTCGGAATACTTATTTAGGGGATTGCCCTGGTTTTCTTTCTTCTGAATGCATGCTAATAACAAACATATTTGATGAACAAAAAAAAACAGGCAAAACTTTTAACATCTACTATAATCTTTTGTTTAATTCATGTATTCAGATTCCGCTGCATCACACTCGCATAACTCATGTATGCTAATCGCAGGGAAAGAATAATAAGATTAAGAAAGCATATTCGTGGATCGAAATAAGTTATCAAAAAGCTGATGGAAAGTGACCTAATTTTTAGAATATACTGTGTTAATCGTATGTTTAGTGCTACGATCAGCGGGTTACTACTGATGTATTGTATCTTATCTCCTCCTAGTCCTGGGAGAGTGGCAAGTGCTGGTTCTCATCTTTTTACATTAAACATAAAAAAAAACAGAAACAAAATAAAACAAAACCAATGAAGAAGAAAGAAACAGAGTGGAATCAGAATACGATCCCTTTCAGACATCACTCTTGCTGTCTCTTTTTGAAAAAAAATTGTTAAAGTTTCCACCTTTCTTATTTTCAACAATGAGAATCTTCCAACCCAAGAAATTTCTTCTCTATTTGCATGGTGTTCCCTTTTGAAACACGTTATTCTGCAATCAACAAATATTATACTTATAAAATAACAGATTCTGCATTATATAAAGCTCCTAAATGTCACCATCTTCTATGCACAAGATATCTCAAACTCCTTATACTTTCCTAAGCTCTCTGCATAATTGATACTTTTGTCATCGATGGCAAATAACTCGCAGAGAAGCAGCAAGAACCTGGAGAAGAAGAAAGAAAACAGAGTGTGTGAGAAGATCTTCAGAGCAATGACGAGTCCTGTCCGGACCGTTCGCCGCATCTCCACCAAACCTCAACCGAACCACCACCAAGCGGAGGCTGTTCGCGTCAAGTTCTCAGAGACCCCCACTCAGGCAGCCAAACCCATTACAAAGATCGAGCCGAAGAAGACGGTGATCACCCGAGTGGAGACGACACTGAAAACAGACGAGACGTTCAACGATTATATTAAGAAAGCGAAGCTGAGGATAAGGGCAATGACGAATCTGGGTGATATGATGAGGAACGATGCGTCGGAGACAAGTGAAACAGAGACGCGTGATCATCATCATCACCATGTCCCTATCTCTCGTGTTTCGAGAGAGAATAGCAGTGGGAGATCAGATCACTTCTCGGAGTACATAAAGAAGGCGAAGATGAAGCTCAGATCCTCCGCCACCATCGCTCGTGCGAACCAAACTTCCGATTCTTTCAAGGTCGTCAAGGATTGATGAATTCCGACATGTTATATATAATATGAATAATCTTGGTCTTGGCTTGCTCTATAAATAAGATATATATATATATATAATATATATGGATTGTGAAATATGTTATGGTTTGAAAAATTTATTGATAAGTATAAAGTACTGTACAGTATAACAAAAACCCAATATATAATAGTTGATCATATTTTAAAAAAGGAAAAAGGTTTGTTGTTGCTAATTCAGAATATTAATTTTTGGACAATCATATGAGCTCTGAATGGGCCGTTACTGCTCATACATATTTAGTAAATAATAAGGCCCATAGTATATGATCCCCTAGGCTTATATAGTTATCTTTGTTGATATGATTTTAATTTTAATAAAAAGATTAATAATGAGATGACATGCACGATCGTTAAATCCATAAAATAATACGCCGGATCTGCCCTGGATGGGCTGTTAAGAAGCGTTTTGTCGTAAGTAACATGACCTCTACGTTCTACTGAATATTCAATTTCAAACGATAACTGTTTTTTTAATCCCGCTAATTTAATGCCAACGGCATGCCATTATTCGAGCCCCCCTTAACCAAAAAGGACAGATTCTGTTGAGATTTCGTTTTCTTTTTTTTACTCAAACTGCTTTAACACGATTTCTTTCTTACACAAATTTAAACCGAAACATGTTTATGAACCGCATTTTATATCTTGATTTTTATACTTTCATTGGTTATGAGTTTCTTTTTCTCGGTCACCACTTATATGAGCTTTTTTATAATGTTTAAAGTGATTATTAATGTACTGTGTGCCCTTGAATTGATTTCTATCAGTAATTTAAAAAAAAAACATTTTATATTTGTATTTTTGGTGATTAATCTTTCAGTATATCGATTTAATACTCATTCGTCTAAACTCACTTTATCGATTTATTATTTATCTTATAGTCACAATGAAAAGAAAGTGTGTTTTCTTTTCTGAATTTTGGTCAGCAAGACAATGTTTTCAGTTGTCATGTTATTAGAAAATGTACATTGTATGTAATTTTCAAAATAAAAGTTTTATTTGTTGTCTAGGTCATAATGAAACAGAGAAAGCCCCCTTTTCGATGATCAAGAGTCAAGTTTGACTCCAGATGCATAGTATGTACTGCTCTTACTATAAACAATATTATTCTTAAAAGTTCAATATATATATATATATATACAATACTAAAATCTATACAATGAATTTCATGAGCGGCCATTTTTCTACTAAATTCATAATAAATACATTACGTTGTTATATATGTCAACTAAACCTGACGTTACCAAAATGGCCTGAGAACAAACAAACAAAAAAACTCGAAGACGTCAAATGTTAGAATATTTAGATTAGTTTTTCTTCCAAAAAGAAAAGGACAAGTTAGATATTAGCCACTCTTGTTTATTTTAGGAGATTGCTTTAATAAGTTTACATATTCAATTAAAAAAATATGCAAATGTGTGTAAAGAGTAATCTACTGTAAACACATGCAGAAAACGCAGGCCGGTATGTTGTTTGGCCTAATCAACTTGTCTTGTGAGAAATCATGGCTAATCGGTTTAACTTGTTTTAAAAAGAACAAAGAAGGAAACAAAAAAAAAACTGATCGGAAAAAGCAATTTAAATATCGAAAATATTTGCTTCGATCGAGTAAGTAGTTGACACTGTGTAAGCGAGGACAATGGACGGTGACACGATAGCTGAGTCACCAAGGCTTCACGTTACAAGCAATGGTTGGTTCTTTGTTTTTTGTTTTCTGTCATCTGGTATTATATTAATAAAGGTAATTGGTCCTTTATAATGGCTTAATGTACTTATGTACAGTGTAACGTTTACATTCGCAATTACTTAATGAATATGGTCTTTTTTTGTGATTTCATTTGTCTCTCTATTCGCTACCGTCAACGCTCTTTACAAAAGGCAAACAAGCACGAAATTTACGAACAAATCAATGACCTCTCAGTAACAGAGAGACCAACCCCCCCTCAAAATGCGGACACACGTGGAAAACGCAGAGAAGACAACTTTTGTAGAATTATTAGAACACCTGGTTTTAGAAAAATACTCCAACTCTTAACAATCTCTATTCTTTCTGCTTACTTAAAACGTAAAGCAATGTATGTTGGAATCGGCAAACCGTGAAAAGAGACCCATATATAGTTATAACAGACTAGTGAGGACCGGTTTATAATAATGTGATACTAGCTAGTATAAATCATGCTATACCCTATAGTGGTTGTAATATATTTGATCATTATAGTTGAAACTAACTTAGTATTAGATTTAGAATGCGAATCTTCCAGACTAGTAACAGATTTTGGTTTGGTCTTTATTTATAAAAGCTTTGTCACCTACGGGGATGAGGTATGATTTCATGATGTAAGTTTCCCTCTGGTCTTAAAATTTTGTTTTATGATTAGTCAACGCTTTGCATGATATGTTTGGATGTAGAGTTTTATGCATATATAACCATATTACAAGTTGAAATAAAGAATATAGCTACAAACTAACTATGGCTCATTATCAATTGTCAAAAATATCCTTGTACTATTATAATAGCTACTATATTATATCTCAATTTTATAGAATAGTATTGTTTGATATAGTATTTGCAAAAAATTAAAAGAGGAGAAAAAGGGAAGAGATGAACGAAAAAGGGAGAGAAGAAAACGGGAGAGAATATGAGATAAGGGGAGAGGAAGAGAGGGAAATAGAGAGGAATATGAGAGAAAGAGAAGGGAAAAGGTGGGGCGATGAAAAGAATAGAGGGGAAGATAACGGAAAAAAGATGGATATTTTTGTATATATTGTATAATATACAGAGAATATCATAGCACATATTATGTTATTGTTAGATGATGAATTTAGCTTACTAATATGGTCATAACACCCAATTTCCATTGGATGTATTTGTAAAAAAATAAGGTAAAACTGAGAGAGCTAATTTGAGACGGTGGTTTCCGCTTCTGGAAAGAAGCTTACCCGGACTCAGCCGCTTTTACTGCTTATGTAGCCAGCCAATAATATCCTTTGCAGTAATGTGCAAAAGATTTTGTATGAAACTGAAACCAGAAAGAAGATAAAAAAAAAAGCTTGTGAAATAAAGAGCTTAGTGGAGCCGAGCCGAACCGAGCTGAGGGAGTCGTGAAGAAGCCGGTTCGTTTTGGCTTTTCTCGCAAGCGAAAGGCTGAGTCGAAGGACTTGTTCGTGAATGGGCCCCACTTTTGCAGATTCTGTTTCGTCTCCCATTTAAAATCTTATTTGGTTACAAACATTTTCATAATACAGTATTGTGTATTTAAAAAAGAAAAAAAGAAAAAAGCATAAACAGTTTTCCGAGTGGGCAATAAATAGGCGACGCTTGTATAAGTCGATTGGTCAGACAAGAAGAAATCATTCCTACACTCTTAAACCCCAAAAACCTCGCGAAACGTCTGATGGCTGAAACGCCGGCATCTCCGATCACTGGATCCGTTGCTCATCCGGTGCTGCTGTCGGATTCGGCGGCGAAAGACGTGATGATCACGTGGTTTCGCGGGGAATTCGCGGCGGCGAACGCCATAATAGATGCGCTGTGCGGACACATGATCGGATCTGGGGAGGAATACGAAGGAGTGATGGCAGCGATTCATAGGAGGAGGCTGAACTGGATCCCATTGCTGCAGATGCAGCAGTACCATTCTATCTCCCAAGTCACGCTCCAGCTCCAAGCTGCCACGGCGGCCAAGATCCATCACAAACTCCTCACTCATCCACAACAACAACTTAATCACGACGATGATTCTCCCTCCAGCGACGTCACTGATTCCGGTATCCCAAATATATTTTTATTTTGAATATTAAAATCAAGATTCTGTTTGGTAGGTGAGATAAAGTAGGATTTGTTCAAATTTCATAACACTGTGTTTGTGTGTACATGCAATATTCAAATTATCATATATATATATATATGTAAGTTTTTACGTTTATATAGATGCACATGTACGTTCGTGTATTGATATTATTAAACCGCCGAATAGCTGCTACTGACAACCGTTGGATCATAACTCGACCTCTATTTTTGGTTTTTCTCTGGCAGGGTCTCGAGAAGAGGAGCGCGTGGAGGAGGCGATGACAATATGTTGGAAGCACGAGGAAGAATGTGAAGCACTCATGGAGCAGTCCAAGCGTTTCTCGGCCAAGGAACATGTTCGAGGACACACGGCAAGTTCAAACACATATATCCTCTTCATTTAGATTGTGTATACTCTCAGGTTTGATAGTTTAGTGTAGTAGTAGCTCATCAAGTTTTTCATTACACCTCTAAATTAAAATTTGGAAAAGAAACTAGCTCATTAGTTAAATGAAGTTGCTTCCAAAGACTAATTAAGACTCCCGTGTTGCTTGTGGCAGACGAATGTTGTGAAAGGGCTTAAACTGTACGAACATGTCTTCACTGCAACACAACTCTCCAAGCTTCTGGATTATGTGAATGGGCTCCGAGAGGCTGGTCGGAATCAGGAACTTTCAGGTGACCCTTCTTTATACACTGAGTCATGCATGCAGGGGAGAGATTTATTGTATAGCCATGCATTAGTTACAAGTTTCTCTCATTTCCCAAAGTGCAGGGGACACGTTTGTTCTGTTCAACAAAAACACGAAAGGAACCAAGAGAGAGCTTATTCAGCTTGGAATTCCCATTTTCGGGAACACCACGGATGAACACTCAGGTAAAGACTCCAAGGACGACTTTGGTAAATGCTTTAGCCACCTTTTGTACCTCTCTTACCTACAAAACTCGTGCTTGCAGTGGCTCCTATCCCAATCCTTCTTCAAAGTGTGATCGATCATCTTCTTCAGTGGCGCGTGATTCCTGACTACAAACGACCCAATGGCTGTGTGATCAACTTCTTTGATGAGGTACTTACAAATTCATCTACGCTACTATATATGTTCTCTCGATCAGGCCAGCTATATCATAAGGCTTGGGCTTGTTTGTTTGCAGGAGGAACACTCCCAACCATTCCAGAAACCACCTCACGTGGATCAACCCTTATCCACCCTTGTCTTGTCTGAATCAACCATGGTGTTTGGACACAGACTCGGGGTCGACAATGATGGCAACTTCAGAGGCTCACTCACTCTGCCACTAAAGGAAGGGTACGTTTGAGAAGTTGTTTATTTTGTCCAACTCAATCTTGTACGAGTTTTGTTTTCAATCATCAGAACAAGGCGTAAAAATGAATGTCGCAGGTCGTTGCTGGTGATGAGAGGTAACAGTGCAGATATGGCTAGGCACGTTATGTGTCCATCACCAAACAAAAGAGTCGCAATCACTTTCTTTAAACTCAAACCAGACTCCGGTAAGGTCCAGCCGCCGCCAACCCTATTGGGGCAAGGTACCCCGGCTCTAAACCCATACAGCATGATCAGAGCTCCACTGGTGATGCTAGCTCCGGCTCCCAGGAGGCTAGACGCCGGCACTGGAGTTTTCTTGCCGTGGACGCCGCCCGTGTCAAAAAAACCAGCCAAGCATCTCCCTCCGCGCGTCCAGAGACTTCGTCTCCTATCATCAGCCAAGTCGGTGGCAGACCGTGAATCCTCACAGCCCGAGATCGGAGTGAGCTGATTCGGAGGGTGTAACACACGTTCTTTTTTTTTTTTTTTTTTTTTGTTATTCCCCTTTTTTACGAGTCTTTTTGGTTGTATACTTGTGGGTTTGGTATCTTGTTTCTTCCTAACCTTTTCTTTCCTTTTATTTACTTAATTTAATAGATATAAAATTCTAGGGTGCTGTACAAGTATATGCTACATCAGCGGTTGATTCACAGGGAACTATTGCACAGTAACTAAATTTAAAAAACATTCTTCATTCAAAGATCTTGAGCTTCAAATCAAGTAGAAGAAGAAACTTGATCAAAATTCCTGCAAACTGCTTTTCAGAGTAAAGCAAAAGAGAGTATAAAGAAGAAACCAGAGATTCTGTTTTCTTTCCTTTTAAACGGATAGAGCGGAAGATAGCTCCTATTGGGTCAATTACCCCATCTCACAAGCATAGAATCAAAGCAAACCCGATGTCCTACTCCCATTTCTCCATATACTAGACCAAAACCACTCCTCTAACACAAGAATCCCATAAGAGGAAAGAAAACCTTTTTTTTGGTTCTTTAGTCTTCTTCTTGACAGAGAATGCGTAGAAGGGAGGATGATGACAGCAGCAGCTCTCTGCGGCCTCCGGGCATTTGCCGCCGGCTGTTTAGATTTGTGGTGGCTAAACTTGGGATATTGGGAGAGAAAGAAGAGATGAACGAAGAAAAGCGTGAGAGGAACAAACTGATCAAGAAGGGATCAAGGTCCGATATCACTATTCATTTCAAGCAAATAGAAGACTCGGAGGAACACAGCAAAAGCAAGAACAACTCCCCTGGCTCGTCAAGTCAAGAATCAGAGAGAGAGACAGTGATCACGCTGGCTAATGGGATTAAAGGACCAAAGAAGAGGTTAGATGACAAAGGGAAGAGGAGCTTGCTGAGTGAGCCGAGCCACAAGCAACAAATCACCCAGCCCGAAGCAGGGAAAGCACCGCAGCCTCATAGACGTCTGAGGCCCCTTCTAAATGACATAAATAAGAAATCAGATGCTTTTATCGAGAGGACACTCGAGAAGATGAGAAAAAGCTTAGCCTAGAACCAAACACACAATGGGATGCAATGAGTCACTCAATTCTTTTATTTTCTTTGAATTTACCGGCTGCATTCTTGATAAGAAAACGTATATGTACTCGCACTTCTTTTTTTACTTGAGAGAAAAATCCATCTCAGAACTCTATGATTTACATGAATATTCCTTAAAGGGGCTTGCCCATACTTCCTTGCAGAGCAATGTTCACATTCGTTTGCCTTAGACCCACGTACCTTGAATCTTCGATATGCTCTACTCACCCACAGAGAAGCTGAGTGGAGAATCATTCTAAGGGAAGACAAGACAAAGAATCTTCATTCTCTCATCCCATCACGAGTGCCTCTACTCGGATCTTTCCAGCCATCCAAGCTGTAGTGAAAACTAATGTGAGGCGCCAAGAATAACCGCCCAAAAATCATCATTGAAAGTCGGAAGGAGCCATACCTTCCAGGCATACATAGCGAAGAAGGCAACTGTATCAGCAGACCAGACAAGGGCAAAAGATTTCCAAAAGAAGGGTATCGCAACATTGAGCAACGGGATGATCAGAAACAGATAGTTAAGAGCCTCTTTCTCTTTACTTGGACAGTCTCGTGCTCGAAGGGAAGGAATAGCTGCCAAGAAAAAAAGTAGAAGATGAGGGGCAAATGCAGATAGGAATGAAGTTGAAACCTTGTGAAGGCAGGCGACTTACTGAACATCCAAATGGACCACATCCCCATCAACCTCCATATGTCAGGTTCGTTGGAGGGAAAGAGGAGGTTGAAAGAGAGGACCCCTCCCACCAACATTGATGCATATCCTTGAACCTCAAACACTTTGTAAAGAGTAGTTCCAGGGACAGCTGGGTTTTTACTGGCCGTGGACGCCCTCGGGGCAAAGGTCGCTGCAGTCTTGTTGACCACCTGCTTGAATTTGACAACTCATTAGCGACCTACTACTACTTATACAAGTTTCAAGCTACTGTTTTGATGAGAGAATCCAAAGTAAAAATGGCACCTTTTTCAAGTCTTTACCGAACGGAGAAGGCGAAGACGACGAGGAAGGGAAAGGAGAACCCGGTTCATCGGTATCGACTCTAAGTTCCTCCTCGGCTTCCACTCCGTCAGCATTAGCGCAAATTCGGAGACTTGCAGCACTGAATCTTGTACGCCCAAGGCCATGGCTGAGATTGGAGCTGGGGGCGAGAGCAATCGACGAGAAGCCCCCGAGCGACGGAGAGATTAAGCACCACCTCATCCTCCTCCAATCAGTTCGCGATAAGGAGGAACACGGCTTTGATTTTCGGACGGACTTTGTTTGTTGATGAATACCGAATTCCGGTACATCAATTACAAAGAACCGTAGCTGTTATTCTACAGTAGCTGTTGATTGAACCGTCGGTTTGGATTGGTTTAGCGATTTCTCTGGTGTATGTATCTACGTGTATAAACGTGTTGTATATGCTTCTGCGCTCAAAGGCGCTAATTATAAAATTATATTGTCAAAAGATCTTTCTTTTGATTCCTTCTTCCGGCTTAAAAGCTTCTTCTTTTTTGCTTCTGGATTTAGATTTCCAGTTCCCAATTTTCAATTTTTCAATTTTTCAATCCACCTCCAAATTCAGCAGCTACCTTTCCGGGAAAGATTTGAACTTGTTACAATCTGTGGAATTTTGATTTCTTCTTCTCCTCCGCTTGGGAATGAAAAATTGGATATCTTTGGAATTTGAAGTCGGAGCTCTATTGAATTCGATGAGAATTGGGATATGGTGATCGTTAAGACAAGGTTCTCATGGCGAGTTTTTTGGTCGGCTTCTTGTTGCCTTCGCTACTTCTGGCAGGTAGGATTCGATCCCCTTGAACATTGTAATACCTCTGGGCTCTAGCTCGAGACTATCAAGGTTCAAGGATGTCAAAATACGTAGATATCTCCACCGTTACTGCTTTGCATTTGAAGGTGTGATATCTCTCATACAGTTTAGGCCTAACATGATGTTTTCTCTTCCTCCCTTGTGTCACAGCTGCACTTATTAACTGGAGTGTGATATCCTTTGTTGATTTGATAGCTTTCCTCCTCGTTCACTATATTGCACCTGAAATTGGTAAGACCATTTTTTAGTTCCTTTATTTCCCCTCTATCCAGGTTCCTTGTCTCTGATTTGATAAAACCCCATTGTTTCAATCGTAATAGACATTGCTTACATCTTTAATTTGGGGCAAGGTTTCGTGTTCTTTATGCCCTGATCAATTACATGTACATTACCCTGGACAAATTAAGTTTTCCTGTTGACCAGTTTACATGGCCTTTATCGGTTATGGTTGATAAGCTGATGTTTACTTTCTCAAACTTGTATCGTATCGTGCTTTCTTTTGCCAGGATACCGTTTTCAGAGGAGGCATTGGCTATTATGGCCCATTTTCATCTTTTCCTTTGCAGTATCCCTTGCTCAAGTGGTGTACCTTGCCATTTGGGCTGCTATAGGCCAAGACTGGGATACAGCCGCTACTGGCTGGATGAGTGTTATTGGATTTATGATGTAAGAGTTAGTCTCCGTCTTTCGTTCATCGTACTGCCTTATATATATTGACTTCTTAGTTTATACTCTCTTGTGTTTGGTTTTGCAGTTTAAAGTCTTGGAGAAACCCCACTGTTATGTATTTCTTGGCTTTACAGCTACTGACATCGCTAGTTGCTTTAGCTGACATATACAGTAGTCGATTCGGCTTCGTTCGATGGCGGGACACATGGTGGTCTCACTTTTCAGGATTTTTCGAACAGCTAGGTTTGTAATTATTGATGTAGACCCGTACGACTTGTCCAAATAGTTACTGTAATTTTTTTTCTTTCTCATTTTGTGTTCATCTGCTAATGTCTATTTTGATGTCAACTATCTCAATTGTTTATGACTCAGGCAGTCATCTCAGGGTTGCCTCCTGCTTGTTGTTACCAGCAGTTCAATTGGCAGTGGGAATCTGCAATCCATCATGGGTTTCTTTGCCATTTTTCATTGGCAGCTGTGCTGGTCTTGTGGACTGGTCCTTGACAAGCAACGTTTCAGGACTTTTCAGGTGGATAAATTATTGATCATTAAGCAAAGTTATCGCTTTCCAACCCTGCTTCTCTGAGATGCAGTCGTTTTTTTTTTTTTTTGTTATGGTTAAGGTGGTGGAGAGTTCTATATATCTACGCAGGATTCAACATTGTCCTGCTTTACCTCTATCAACTACCAATAGACTTTTCCGATATGATTCGATGGATAGCAAGCTTTATAGGCCTATTCAGAATCTCTGCGGAAACCGAAGGCCCTGATATTTGTTCTGGTCTTTTCCTTTTGCTGTTCTACATCATGGTATGTCTTTCTTTTTCTTTCTAGGATTAGTATTGCCTGCTCTTGTACAAGTGTGAGAAATGATTTTTATTTATGGTTTTTCAATTAAAAAAGACTTATATTACTTAACAAAAACTTATATGTTTCTCAAAACAACTCTTAATATGTGTTAACCGTGTTTCGGGTGTTGTGTATGAACACCAGCAACCAATGTACTTTTTCCTTCTAGTTAAATTGACTTATTAATCTTGACCTGTTAACGAGCTACTACACTATTATATCTGCAGTAGTATGACATGCCTTTCTTTCTGCAATTGCAGCTATCCTATGTAAGGTCAGACCTCGAGGATATGGACTTTATCATGTCCACGAGTGAAAATAATTTGGCAGAGCGGCTTCTTCCTCCGAAATATTCGTTTTTTATTCGAGAATCAAGGTATGTTGTATAGATTTTTGTTTTGTTTCCTCCTACAGGGAGCTGTTGTGGTGTTTGACACAGTATTTCAGGGTTGCAAGGATATTTTAGTTTGTCTGTTTTAAAATTCTCTCACTTGTTTAACTGAAGAGATTTGATTTGCTTTATGGTCGTCGACTGGTAGATCCTGCCTTCGGTTCATAGAACCATACTCCGTGGCTATGCGGTTAATGAAAGAATCATGTGAACTCTAGGCTGGAGTTTTAGTTGAAAAATGAGAAGTTGGTTGAACCCTTACTGTATTTAGTGGGACCAATTTGTTTTATGAGAGAGCCTTTAAAACGCTGAAATTATTTAGTTGTCGCTATTCAAGGGTTCGACACTCGGCACTACAAAATCTGGGAGCTTAGGCACTGGAACTGTGTAAAGAATATTACTCTCGTACAGTGTACATCGAGTTCACTCATTTTAATGGCAGGGCTAATTTCTTCCAAATTTCAGGGCCGGTGTAAGGCACACCAATGTTTTATTGAGGGGAGCTGTGTTTAAGACTTTCAGTATCAATTTCTTCACATATGGTTTTCTGGTATATAGTTGTATTAATGGTATCAAAGTGGATGTGTAAGCTCAAGCAACGTATTGTGTCCGGAAACTCACACTCTCTTTGAATTTGCTTCCATGATGGTCAGGTCTCTCTGTTTGCTCTTTCTTTCTGGAGTTTTCATTTTGCGAGCTTGTGTGCTTTTGGCCTCCTTGGATATGTTGGTTACATTATCTATGCCTTCCCGTCGTTGTTCCGCCTGCACAGATTAAACGGCCTTCTTCTCGTATTTATACTCTTATGGGCTGTCAGTACGTACATATTCAATGTGGCATTTTCTTTTCTCAACACCAAGGTTGGAAAGGTAAATATCTTGGCTAGGTGCAAACTTCAAGTATCTAAAAGGAAGTAGATGTAAAGTAACCAGTGTCGTAAATATGCAGGACATGAAAATTTGGGAGATGGTGGGACTTTGGCATTACACTATACCTGGATTCTTTTTGCTTGCACAGTTTGGGTTGGGGATGTTGGTTGCGTTGGGTAATCTTGTGAACAACTCTGTTTTTCTGTACCTGTCTGAAGAGAGCTCCAGACCTTCCAATGACAGATCTTATGCGGAAGGTAATGGCCTCACGTATGCTTCTGCAAGGTGTTTTCTTTGGCAAAAGCTTAGCTTACTTTAGGTGGCAATTCCAGTCTTGTGCTTTTCATTCAGTTTTAAAACTGTTCTTAACGGCGGAGATTATCCTCAATCACAGCTGATGAAGAAACAAAGGTATTGGTCGTCGCCACCATTGCTTGGGGATTGCGGAAATGTTCACGGGCTATTATGCTCGCACTGATTTTCCTCATTGCCATGAAACCTGGGTTTTTCCACGCCGTGTATGGTACGTTTGTTCCCCTCATATTTGCTTTAAGGATTTATAGATCTGGGTGTTTGGGAAAAATCTTTGTTTATGATACTACTCCCTAATGGACTTATCTTTCAGTGATATTCTTCCTTATGTATCTGTTGAGCCACAATATCAACAGAAAGATACGCAAGTCCTTGATTCTTCTATGCGAAGTTCATTTTGCACTTCTCTACATTCTTGAGATCGACCTGGTGTCGAACTCCTTTAAGCGGGAAGGCTCTGTGAGCAGAGAAATTCTATTTCAGTTAGGTACGCTGCTCTTTCTGTGATTCACGTATCATCAGTTTCCTTTTGAAGTTAGCTGCTAGGTGATCTTAGATTAAAGAGAAACGTGGATTAGGGAAGAGTTCTCACTGTGTATGAATTATTGCAGGTCTCCTTAGGTCCGAGAGCTCTTGGGACTTCTTGGAGATAGCCTTGCTTGCTTGCTTCTGTGCTATCCATAATCATGGTTTCGAGGTGCTGTTTTCCTTCTCAGCAATTGTACGCCATACACCAAGCCCTCCAATTGGATTTAGCATATTGAAAGCTGGTCTCAACAAATCAGTCCTCTTGTCCGTCTACTCGTCTCCATCTTCAAGTTACAGCCAGGATAATACTACTTATGGTATAGCACTTCCTACTTGTCTCTTTTGAAGTGAACACTCGAATGAGGGACATATTTTTACGTCTTAGTTTCATACCTCCACTGCAAATCCTTGCTCCCAGTGTCAATTAGTTATCCTTAAAGGCTGTTGCCACACAATTATCATGCATATCACCAGCTTTGTATTCCCCGTAATGGACCCAGTAGTAGGTTTCTACTTTAGAATACTTGCCATTATTGCTGTAATAGTTTTAGCTCTACTGGGTCCATTATTGCCAGTAGTTTTAGTATCTACTGCCATTATTATCACAGGTTAGCTCTAGAAGTATCTTTTCATGCTGTGAGATCTAAGTTGCACATTTTGTGACCTCTCTCAGATTCTTTTAATTGTCCATCCTAACTGTTTTGTAACAACTCTCTTATAATATGTTTACGAATCACTGTTTTCTTTACAGAGAGACATATTGCTTCAT